AGAGGGAGATAAAAGACTAAGATGTATTGAGCACCAGTTATTTTTCAAGGAATCAAGCTTGGTACTATATACAATGTTTGATCTTCATAGCCAGTCTATGAGATTGTCACATTCTAGTGGAGAAAATAGGCTCAGAGCATTTCATTTCTTCTGGTGTCAGGAAGCCATTAGTAAGTGGAAACCAGGATTCAGACTCAGTTCTGACTCCAGAGTCCACTATATCATGTAATTTCAGTACTACCTTTCCCTACTCTATATCAGATTGTGCTATTTGTAAAGTTTAAATGCCAGGTGGCATTATGCTGGCTAATGTATAATAGATTTGAACGTAACTGATACTGGGTTTCTTTCAGCTTTAACATAAAATAGTTCATGCTGTTGCGGGCCTATATAAGAAATTACATTCCCCGGACAAAGTGGTCAGGAGGTGCAAACTGATTTCTCTGGAATGTTGAGACCCTGAGATAAGACCTAAACCAAATAGCATTTTAAATTATTGATTCTTCATTTTTTTCCTCTATAAAACTAACATAGGAAAGAAGACTAAGTATATAACAAGTAGTAAGTGTCAACTTTTATTTAACTTTGTAGTGTGATCTTTGCATGTTGCCTCATTTAATTTGCGTAAGCTCTTTTGTGGTATATTAGAGAAGCGAGGTACTTCCTCTGTCATGTCCCATTTTATATCCTTGCTTGAGGAAATGAAGCAGTCTCTAAAAGCTGTTGTCTCTGATTCTTTTCTGTGCAATTAAAGTATAGAAAAGTGTTAGTACCATTTGCTGCATGCCAGAGAGAATTCTCTCTTAATTGGCCTTCTAGTGTAGGCCATACTTCTAAATATGTCACTTACTAATAATAGAATAATAACTGCTGTATATTGGAGAAGGCTGTGTGCCAAGAATCATGCTTGATAATTTTTAAACTTTGTTAGTAATTCTCAGTAAATTTGAGAGACAGCTTAATTTTCCCCATTATACAGATGAGGAAACTAAGGCCACAATCTAGTAAGTAGAACAAGGATTCAAACCCAGGTTACATGACTGTCTGTGCTTTTGCTGTCTTTATTAGCATGCTACACTCCTTATCACTGCCTAAACCCAAGGAAAGAATATTTCCTTTTTCCTTGAGCCCCCTAGGGGCTCCAAAAGGCACACCGAGACCAGAAATTATTTGCATTTTATCGATGCAGTTTCATTTTTTAAAAAAATTCCAAAGTTTTCTATATGCCTTTAAAGTCTACAAATTTCTATTTTTGATTAAGGATTTGTATACATATCAGAGAAGTAGTGAAGAAATTTAAAATAGGAATTCTTAGTGTAAGAATGTGCCTGGCCACTTTGCCCATTTTTTAATCTGGCTATTCATTTTTCTGCTGTTGAGTTGTAACTGTTCTTTATAAATTTTGGATATTAACCTTTTATCAGTTATGCGATTTGCAATTTTCTTTTCTTAGTCTGTAGGTTGCCTTTTCATTTGGTTGATTGTTTTCTTTGCTGTGCAGAAGCTTTTTAGTTTGATATAGTCTCATTTATTTAGGTTTCTTTTTTTGTAGCCTGAGCTTTTGGTGTGTTATACAAAAAATCATTGCAAAGGCCAATGTTGAGCTTTTCTCCTATGTTACCTTCTAGGATTTTTATGATTTCATATCTTACATTTAAGTTTTTTATCAATTTTTAGTCGACTTTTGTGTATGCTGTGAGATTTTCATTTTGTGTGTGTGTGGAAATGTAGTTATCCCAGCACCAATTATTGAAGAGACTTTTCCTTCCCCATTGTGTCTTTTTGGTATCCTTATTGGTAATTAGTTGACCGTGTATGTGTAGATTTATTTCCAGCCTCTCTATTCTGTTCCATTGGTCTGTGTTTCTTTTTTTATGCCAATACCATACTGTTTTGAATTCTGTAGCTTTGTAATATAATTTTAAATATGTAGGTGAGATGCATCTAGCTTTGTTTCTCTTGCTGAGTATTTCTTTGGCTATTTGGGGTGGGTTGTGGTTCCATATGAATTTTAGAATTCTTTTTCTTATTTCTGTGAAGAATGCCATTGGAGTTTTGCTAAGGATTGCATTAAATCTATATATTGCTTTGGATAGTATGGACATTTTAACAATACTAAGTCTTTCCATCCATGAACACAGGGATCTTTCCATTTGTGTCTTTACAATTCAGTTCTTCAGTATTTTATAGTTTTCAATGTACTGATCTTTTACTTCCTTGATTAAATTTATCCCTAGATATTTTAATTTTTTATACCACCATATATGGAATTATTTTCTTGATTTTTTTCTGCTAAGTGAATTGTGTATAGAAATGCTACTGATTTTTGTGTGTTGATTTTGTACCTTGCAACTTTACTGAATTCATTTATTCTAACAGTTGAAAATCTTAGGGGTTTTCTCTCTTTTATTTTTTACATGTTTGCAGCTTTATTTAACAACACAATTATTCTCTTCTGGAATCTGTGTACTTTATGATTTTTTTTTTCTTTTTGGTGTACTGGAATAAAGATGGACTAAAAAGTTCATAAATGATGCTGAAACGGCTGGATCACCGTTTGTAAAAAAAAGCAGCTATCGGCTGTGCTTTTTATACCACACGTATAATAAGAATAGATTCCAGATGAATTAGGAATATAAATGTAAAAAAGAAGAAAAGTGAAACCATACAAACACTGAAGAAAACATGGGTGAATTCTGCTTTAACCTTGAGTGTCACAGGAAGAAGTTTTCTACCTATGACTCAAAATCTAGAGCAAAAGAAAAAAAACACTGATAAATTTGACTCATAAAGATTTGAAAATATTTTGCATGACAAAATACACCATCAGCAAACTGGGGGAAAAATATTTGTAACATATACCACAGATACGGGGCTAACATCCCTAATACATGAAAGACTATTAAAAAATGAGGGGCAAAATACCAAAAACCTGATAGAAAAATGGGAAAAAAGCTTGAACAAACAATTCACAAAAAAATATGTAAAAATGCCCCTCAAACATATTTTTTAACTGTTCAAACTCATAATGTTAGAAAAATCCAAGTTAAAACAATACTGAGATACCATTTCTCACCTATAAGAATGGCAAAATTTAAAAGATATGACATGTTTTGCTTCCCGTGGGGAAGCAGGTGCTCTCATACATTGCTGTTGGGAACGTAAATTGCCATAACCCTTCTGAGGGAAGTTTTGGTTCTTTTTTATAACTGGGCAGGATTACTGTAACAGGACTAGCAGAGAGAAGGAGGTGATATCATCCCTCCCCACCCTCCCCCACAGGAACTCATCCTCACCTCAGCCTGTGTTACCCTCCTCCCACTTCCTGTGACAAATTGTCCAGAATCCATGTGTGAACCATAAGGCTTTACACCAACCTCTCTAATAACAGTGACCGTATTGCATTACAGTTTTCATTTTCCCTGTCTGTGTTCACATCTACTAATGCTGTATCCATATCTATATCCCCAAGGCCTAGAATAGTGCCTAAAAGATCCTTAATGGGTAAATGTGTTTTCTTTTGAACTTTAAACGAATCTAAGATTCTCCTAATTTAGCTGTCTGGGCCTTTTTCCTGTTTTCACAAGCAGAACCCTAGAAAACCTTTCAAAGATTATGTTCTTGCTTCAGGGAACAGAGGGTTAGCAAGACTGCTGAGGACTCTGTTGTGTGCCTCTGTGACAATAAAGACAAATAGCACTAGTAGGTGAGTGCTAGGAGTGGAAAGGAGAGCTGCTTGGACGCTTCTCAGCATGTTGGGGAGGGATGACTTGGACACTGGGAAGTGTGGCTGAAAATCTCTCTCCGAACTTTGAGCCTTACTTCTTCACTTAATCCTCGTCCAGTCTTGGCCACCCCCATTGCCCTGTTACCTCTGGGAAATATCTGAGTTCTGCCTCTTTCTGGCATTCCTGTTCCTGTTATAGACCCTTCTTTTTGGGCCCCCATTCCAGCCCCTACTCACCGGCCTACAGGTCTTGTCCCTCCCCCTTCACACCTCACTAGGGACTGGGATTTGGGTTCCGCTTCACTTCTTCCTCACCCTGCTGTCTAGCACCTGATTCTTCCCCCTCCCTCACCCACCTCCTGTCTTTCTGCCTAGGGGAGGGGAGACCGGAAATCTTTATATGGGTTGTTAAGGAAAAAGTTATTCAATGACACTATTAAAGAATTTTAAGGAAGACTTTATTTGAAACCATCACCACAGGTAAGGGGACTGCTGCAACAGGGTCTTGCTGTGGCAGAGAGAGTGGGCCGACTCTTAATATAGCATGGGCAGTAGGAATTTATAGCCAAGGAACAGGGTGGGGGTAGTGGATGGAAAATTAGTCAGAGGTAACATCAGGAGTAAGGAGGGATTCTGGCTAAACTGACCTAACAGAATTCTTGCTGAAGACAAGGTGAGCAGACCTGGGGGATGGTGGAGGATGAGAAACCCAATCAGATATCCAGAGAGGGGTTCTTGCTAAACTGACTTAGTAGGCTTCTTTGCTAAAACTGGATTTTACAAGGAAGTTCACAAATGGATCTGGGAGAACGTTTAGGAACCTGACTAAAGTTTGCAAGCAAAGAGTCTTTGTCAAGGGGAAGAACTAGGCTCATTTAGGCTGACCCATCAACTTACTTTGTGTAACATTTATTATGGAGAAAAATGAAAATAAATGACCTACAGCAAAGTTTATTTTTAAATTGAAATTGTCTATAAAACATCATAGAAGTTTTATGCAGGAAGGAAATTTAATAATATTCTAGTCCCAGTTATCTCATTTTACAGTTTAAGAAACCAAGGTCTAAGTTGGTTAAGTAATTTTCCTACAGTCGTGTTTTCTAATACAGAATCTAATATTGCAGCTGACATAATTTCATACTCACAGTTAAACCTACATTTTTTTCCAGAATAGAAATTTTTGAATATTTTTAATATTATGAATTAATTTTTATATTTCATATTATAATGGTGCCTATTTATAGGAATTACAGCACTTTTCTTTCTAATCCAGATTTAGGTCGATCTCGAGAACTACAATATGTGTATGTGGATAACAACATTCACCTGAAAGGCTTGCCATCTTATCTGTACAATAAAGTCATCGGGTGCAGTGGGTAAGGCTGATTTCACATTTTTAACTCAAAAACTGATCAACTACTTTTGATAATTCTACTCAACTTTGTCGTTGGCCTTAATATGCTAAAACAAATATCCTTGGAAACTAAGAATATTGGACAAGCAATTTAGAATATTGCATGTTGAGTTTACTCAGTAAGTTTTTTGTTTTCCAGTCTAGAGAAAAAATGAATCTATATGCACCTTTTTTTGTTGTTGCAATGGAAATAAACAGCTTTGTTTTCCCCCAGCTTTATTGAGGTATAATTGACAAATAAAATGGTATATATTTGCAGTGTAGAATGTGATGGCTTGATATATGTATATGTTGCCACAGGTACCATCATAAACTCAATGGTGTTAGTCACAGAAAGTGGAGGAATCAGCATTAATTTAATAGGCTTTCTTTCTCTAAACTCCATTGCAGTGACAGTTTTACTACAGGAACAGCCCTAGTATCTAGGGTTTACCAATAGAACACAACATGTGAGATAGACCCTCAAAATAAGTCATGATTCTATCAACCAACACAGTTATTTCAGTTAATGAACGTTTAGTTTTAGAGCAGCAATAATTTTTCCTTCTTAGTCAGACTTCTAGAAAGATGACTTCAGCTTCTCCTTCTACAACACTGGGCCAGAACCACCGTAAAGTGTTTCCCAGAGTGGGCTGGGATTAAGATGGACCACTCAACCGACTGCCAGGACCTGCTTTTGACTGGCTTGCTTTCCCAGTTAAGGAGCCAAAGGAACACTTTTGAGGCTACCTAACCAGCATGTTTTACTGTCCCCTTTTAATCCCCAAGGTGCTACAATAACTTGGCCCATACTATATGTAGTTCTGGAAAGAAAAGGGATGACAGTAAGCTTGTGCATAGAGGATAGAGGACAGCCACTCCCCTGTTATCACATCAGGACTCCAGAGGATGGGCACTGAGCTGTGATTGCTCCGGAGAGGGCAGTCCTAGGATTTATGTCTTCCCTGAGGAATAGTTGTACAGTTATTACTTTGGGAAAGTCCTAGATCAGTTCAACACCTATATAGTCTGATGAAATCCAAATCGAAAGATGTGTTCCAGAACTTTCTGTGAAGCAGACTAGAATAGGTTTGTTTTTAGCTCAGTGATTTTTCTATAGCTGATTATGTCACAACTGTGATATTACATAGTCATTAATCCCAATGAGTTATTAAATTATTTTAATATAGCCTAATTCTTCCAAGTGGTGAGTAAAATGCCCTCAGTGACCATGATGCACGGAGTGATGCAAGCAGGCTCCAAAGCTGAAGTCACTTTCCCATGCCAGAACCTTCATGGACTGCACCAAAATGTGATCCAAGTCCCTTATGACAATTAAGGAATAACTTTTATTTAAGATAAAGAGCCTTCTACTTTTATGTTTAGATGTTGGTATTATTGACATCCAGAAAGTGCTATTTGTGCTTTCTGCTATTTAAGTAGAAAGATATTTTTTAATCTTTGACTTGGTCTCTGGTAGCAGTGGTAGTAAATTTTATGAGAGTTCCAAATCTTTAAAAAAAACAAATAGTGGGGAAAAACATACAAATTATTAGCTAATATTCTATACTTTTATTATTATTAAGGTCTTCTTTCATTAGTAATAAATAAATAAAATTATTAATAGGATAGTATCAAACAACCAGTTTTATAATGTTAGTATTGGGGGCATAAGCAGTTCCACTTACAAACAGACTATGCTCCAAAAGGCATTTTTAGTCTGTTGGTTTAACTCAAAACTCAGAATGCATTTTTATAGAAACAGTTCTGGTCATTACATTTCTGAGCCAGCTCATTAAAAGGTTATTTAACTTATTTTGCACCTGAAAAGTTATACAGTATTTCTATGGCAAATGTGTTCAGGATTTTAATAGATGATAACTGCTGAAGCCATGACAACAGAATTAAGGAGCACTTTTTTCTGTTCCTTTTTTTCTGTTGAATATGTGTAGCCAGACCTCCCGACCCAGTTCCAAGTCAAGTGGTGGTGCTTACTGCCCTAGCCTAGGGAATGGGAGCGGGAGAGGGGTAGAACAACATTCTGAGGAATGTCAAACCGAAGGGGCATAACAGGTGTATTTGAGGCCTAGAAATTACCCTTTTTCATTCTGAACAAGGATTTTGGTTCAGTTGTTCATTCCATGAGCATTTATTGAGTGACTACTCTGTTGTTTCACTGTGCTAAATAATGGTATATACAGTGGTGAGCAAAGCAGTGAAGTTCCTGTCCTCATGGACCTTCTAATTTAGCCAGGGAGTGAAATGAATACTAAATAATTGAACAAACTTGGTTTTAATTCTCTTTAAGGAAACTGAGACTTAAAGGCTCAGTTGGTTCTTCACTGCTGTCACATGTTGCATCTAGCCCAGATGTAGACCCAGAATATAACAACACAGTAGTTTCAGCTGTCCTGTAGTATCTTTGAAACAAGTTAATACTATTTTCAGATTAAGGGTCTAAGAGAATTAGAGCAACAGTAGAGCAAATGATATATAAATGTTGGAAATGTAAAGCATGCAGCTGTATTTTATGACCTAGCCTCAAACACATGTCATTTCTGTTATATCTCACTGATTACATGGGTGAAGCCTATTCATGGAGGGAGGGGACAACACAGGGAGTGACTGCTAGGAGGAGAACCACTGGGAGCCCACAGAGAGACACTATCACAGCTGCATTGTGTCTGTACTCTGCCAGACTCCTAGAAAAATGTGATCTTTATTTTGTCTGGGTTTTTGTTGTTGTTCTTGTTGTTACTACAGGAGTAAATGTCTTCTCTTCTACATTGTACCCAGAAAGAAAAGTCCATCCTTTGTTAGAATTTTAGAGTGGTAATTGGCATATTTGCTTACTGAGGAAAAACTTCATGATTAAAATTATCCTATAGGGGGGTTATTTTTCTAGTTATTTGATTATATGAGAAAAAGGAAACCAAGCCACTGCTTTGCTTTTTCTTATGTAAATAATGAGCTATTATAGGTGGATTTGTGTGCAGATTGGTTAAATGACCTTCTAAAGGTTAGTTAACATAGCCACTCAAGGTAATAGATTTCTTTGTATGAGAAATGCATTCTGAGTTCTGAGTTAAACTAATAGACTAAAAATACTCCATGTTTATTTGGGGATTGGAAGGCTGCCTACACATCAAAAATAACCAATGTTGAACACCTGAACCACACCTCCAAGGGTCAGGCCCAAAGCTGTATGGCCACAGTTGAAAGTACTGAAGTGTGATTTGAGCTGTCACTCAAGATACAGAGGTTGCAGTTTGACTGCCACAAAGTTAATTGCTTGCTGAAACAAAAACGTTAACACTGCTTTTAAGTGTTAGAGGAATATAGTAGAATCCATAGTCTCCACAATATAGTTTTCACAATATCCAGTAGACATTCCAGAATTACACAACATCAGAAAAATGTTACCCAGTCTCAAGAGAACAGGTGATCAGTAGAGACCAACATGAGGTGGCTTAAATTGTTCAAATGATAGACAAGGATTTTAAAGTAACTGTTATAACTGTTCTCAATGAAATAAAGAAAAATAGGTTTGTAATGAATGAAAAGACCAGAAAAATAGATATTGTAAAAAAAAAAAAAAAGCAGGGGGAGGGGAATTCTAGAATTGAAAATACAATGTCTGAAACAAAAAAAAATTAGCTTGCTGGGCTTCCTAGCAAAATGGATATAACAGAGGGGCAAACATCAGTGAACTTGGAGGTAGATTAGTGGAAATGATCCAATCTGAGGAACACATAGGAAAAAATACTGAAAACAAAAATGAACACAGCATGAGAAACCTTCTAGACAATATAAAAAAGTCTGATGTCTGTGTAATTGGCATCCCAGAAGGAGAATAAGGAGAGAATGGGTAACAACAACAAAAATGTTTGAAGAAATAATGTTCAGAAATTTCCCAAATTTGATGAAAAACATTTTCAAGAAGCTCAGTGAATGCTAAGCAGTATAAATACAAAGAAAACCATTCCTAAACAAAGCTGCTCAAAACCAAAGATAAAAAGAAAATTTTGAAAGCAACCCAGAGAAAAAGGACACTTTACATACAAAGGAACAATTCAAAAGACTATTAACTTCTTATCAGAAAATCTAACGGCCAGAAAAACAATGGAAAAACATTTTTACAGTGCTAGAGAAATAAGTCAACTCAAAATTATATAAACACATTCACAGATAAAACAAAACTTAGCCTTGAGTAGCTTTGCCAATGTGACAGTTGGACTCTTCATCCAGGCCATCCATTCTTTTTAGCTGGTACAGTTTCTTTCCATCTCCATTTCTACTTCTCTCCTTTCCTTTTCTTCTTTCTTTAAGCTGAAGAAAAACTTTTCTCTAAAAAGGAAGAGGGTAAATCTGTAGCAGTTCCCGCAAGAATGGGCATGTGGTGTACTTTCTGAAGGATAAAAGATAGTTAGATTTGGGTGTTTCAGGCAAGGAAATTTAAATCTTTTAACATATTTGTTAGGTAGAATTGTAAGTGGGAAAATGCATATGAATTAATTTGCTAAATTATATACATGTTTTGGTGCATCTATATGGCAAAATCTCAGTGGCAAGATAATGTCACTGTTCATCCTGTTTGGGGCTAAATATTGAATGTCAACTGTGAAAGCATTGAGTTGAAAGAAAATTCCCAATAATTGTTATAAATTAGCTATATTACTAAGCCAAAGGTACTAATATTTGTAACAGATTTCAATTCATTTAAATAACTCACTTAAGGGTTCAGTGTACAAATCTTTTTGTAACTACCTCAGCATTTAATCTAAAATAATAAAAACTATTGTTATAAATCAAAGATACCAAAGTTTAATAATTGCCAGCTAATAATTCTTTCATTTCATTGTGAACTGAAGGATATCATGGGGCTTCCATCTCTCCTTTACTGACAGTTCATTTCATCATTACTCTTGTTTCAGATGAGTGACACTTACTTTTCAAAACAGGTACCTTTTCAGCCTTCCTTTC